AAAAATAATAATAAATTTTTTTTAAAAAAGAGTTCTTCTCTCTCCTCACCCTCTCCAACATTTATTACTTACTGTCCTGTTAAACCTTGCTACTGCTACTGGAGTGAGATGGTGTCTTGTTGTAGTTTTGATTTGTGTCTCTCTTATTATCTGTTGTTTTGACCATTTCTTCATGTGTCTATTGGCCATCTGAATTTCTTCCTCTGTGAAATGTCTTTCCATGTCCTTTGCCCATTTTGTAGTTGTGTTCAGTCTTTTTCCTTGTGGAGGCCCTGTAGGATTTTGTAAACTTTTGATATAAGACCCTTGTCTGAAATTGTATTTCCAAATTTTTTTCCCCATTCAGTAGGTTTCCTTTTTATTCTGTTGGGAAAAGTTTTTGATGTGCACAAGGATTTAATCTTTAGAGGGTACAATTCGTCAATTTTATCCTCTCCAGATTGTGCATTTCTGGCTGCATCTGGAAGTCTCTTTATACCATAGACTAGGCTGTCTAAACTTGATCCCAGTTAGTTTTGAACTTTATTCCCAGATCTCTGATCCACCTTTAGTTGATTTTTTTGTATGTAGTATGAGATGTGGATTCTTTTCTGGCTTTCTGTAAGTAGCAGTGCTTGCTAGGGTCATATGACAAGAGAAGGAAATAAAAGTCACCCAGATTGGCAAAGAGATGGTTAAACTATTTCTATATGCAGATGATATGACAGCATGCACAGAAAACCCAAAGGACTCAACAAAATAACTGTTATGGTTAGTAGACCAGTTTAGTAGAGTGGCAGGATATAAAATCAATATCAAAAGATCAGTGGGGCTCATCTACAGTAACAAAGAAAACTCAGAGAGGGGAAGCAAGGAAGCAATACCATTTACAACAGCCAACTACATTCTGAGATTCTTGGGAATAAACCTAACTAGAGACACAAGAGACCTGTACAAAGAAAGTTGCAAAACATTTCTGAGAGACACAATAAAAGACCGTAATAAATGGAAAAATGTGCCCTATTCCTGGATAGGAAGACCCAATATTGTGAAAATGACAATCCTACCAAAAGCCATCTATGTGTTCAATGCAATCCCAATCCAGATACCAAATAATTTCTTTTTCAAGGAGCTTGAAAGGAAAATTGACAAGTTTATTTGGAAAGGAAAGGTACCTCAAATAAGCAAGACACTGCTGAAAAACAAAAATAAAGTGGAAGGCATAGCATTCCCTGACCTTATACACAGTGGTAGTAGCCAAAACAACATGGTACTGGTACAGTGAGAGGCACATAGACCAATAGAACAAATTTGAGAACCCAGAAATGGATCCATCTATATATGGTTAATTGATGACAAGGAAATAAAACCCAATAAATGGAGAAATGACAACCTCTTCAACAAATGGTACTGGCAAACTTGTTGTTGTTGTTATGTGCCGTCGAGTCGTTTGCGACTCATAGCGACCCTATGTACAACAGCCCTAAACCCTGCTCTATCCTGTGCCACACTCATTGCCTCTGACAAAACCATCCCGATTACCCCGGTCACTGTATCAATCCACCTCATAGAGGGTCTTCCCCTCCTGTGCTGTCCCTCTACTCTACCCAGCATGATGTCCCTCTCTAAAGACCTGTCTCTCCTTACAACATGTCCAAAGTATGTCAGGCGAAGCCCCAGAATCCTTGCCTCCAAGGAGCAGCCTGGTTTAACCCTCTCTAGGATGAATCTGTTTGTTTTCTTGGCAGTCCATGGTACATTCAATATTCTTCTCCAGCACCACAGCTCAAAGGAGTCAATTCTGCTTCTATCCTTCCTAGTCATTGTCCAACTCTCTGATGCATAACAAGTGATTGCAAAAATCATGGCCTGTATCAGGCGCACCTTAGTCTCCAGAGAGACACCATTGCTCTTCAGTACTTTAGAGAGGTCCCTAACCTCAGACTTTCCCATTGCAATACGTTTTTTTATTTCCTGGCTACTGGTGCCAAGAGTGTTGACCATGGAGCCAAGCAAACTGAAACTGTGAACAATCTCAATCTCTTCACCATCCATCCTGATGCTACCGATTGGTCCAGTGGTGAGAATTTTTGTCTTCTTGACATTGAACCTCAGTCCATATTGAAGGCTGCAGTCCTTGACCCTCTGCAGTAAGTGCATGAGGTCCTCCTCAGTTTCAGTGAGCAAGGTTGTGTCATCTGCATAACACAGATTGTTGGTAGATCGTCCACCAAATCTAATGCCACGCTTCTCCTCATAGAGCCCAACCTCTCGGATAATCTGCTGTGCATACAGGTTGAAAAGGTATGGAGATAGGACACATGGGGTGTTCACATGCCGGGCACCTGGTGCTCACGTGCCGGGCACCGGGTGCTCACCTGCCGGGCACGGGGTGCTCACGTGCTGGGGATGGTCTGCGCACGTGAGCACCCCGTCCCCGGCACGTGCGCACCTAGTGTCCGGCACATGAACACCAGGTACCCGGCACGTGATCACCCCTTTCCCGGCAGGTGAGCACCCCAGGCCCGGCACGTGAACACCAGGTGCCCGGCACGTGAACACCCTGTCCCTGGCACGTGAGCACCTGGTGCCCGGCAGGTGATCTCCTTTTGCCCGGCACGTGAACACCAGGTTCCTGGCACGTGATCACCCCATCCCCGGCACGTGAGCAACCCGGGCCGGCACGTGGATACCCGGTGCCTGACAGGTAAACACCACGTGCTCAGCACGTTAACACCCCTTGCCGGGCTCGGGAACACCCCGTGCCGGGCATGTGAATACCAGGTGCCCGGCACGTGGTCACCCTGTCCCCGGCACGTGCGCAGACACATCCCTGGCGGACACCCTTCCCAATTTTGAACCATGCAGTGTTGCCCTGCTCTGTTCTGACGACTGCCTCTTGGTCCAAGTATAGGTTTCGCATTAGCACGATTAAATGTTCTGCGATTCCCATTCTTCTCAGAGTCAGCCACAGTTTATTATGATCCACACAGTCAAATGCCTTTGCATAATCAATGAAACACAGATAGACATTCTTCTGGTATTCTCTGCTTTCAGCTAAGATCCATCTAACATCAGCTAAAATATCCCTAGTACCACAACCCCTTCTAAACCCAGCCTGGACTTCTGGCAGTTCTCTGCTGATGTACTGATAGAAGAAGAATTGATGCATTTGAATTATGGTGTTGGAGAAGAGTACTAAATGTACTTGCAAAAGAACAACCAAGTTTGTCTTGGGGAAAATGCAACCAGGGTGCTCCTTGGAGGTAAGAATGATAAATCTTCAGCTCATATGCTCTTGGCATGTTGTTTGGAAGGACCAGTCCTAGGAAAAATACAACATGCTTGGAAAGATAGAAGGTTAGTAAAAGAGAGGAAGACCCTCAACAAGAAGAATCAACAAGAAGAATTGACACAAAGTCTGTAAAAATGGGCTTAATTATATTAGAGATGGTGCATAGGGCGAGGTTCAGATCCTCCATTCATCGGATGTCGATCAGTTGGAATTAACTTGAAGACACCTAACACTAAGAACAATGCTTAGAAGATTTTATATTTTTATGGAATAAACAAGTAGAAGATCATGCACAGAAATGGTGTGTCTATTATTAAGACTACAACACATTTGATAGAAAGATTTTTGCATCAAGCCTAACTTCATCTGAGATTGTTGTTGTTGCATACCATAGAGCGGGGACCAAACCATAACTGATCCCCCCCGGCAAGTTTTCAGAGACAGTTAATCGCAGGGGAGGACATTGGCCCTTCTCCCATGGAGCAGCTTGCAGCCTCAAACTATGTACCTTCAGGATTGCAACGTGATTTCTTGCCACTAGACTACCAGAGCTCTTGATTAAGAGAGCATTTACTACGCTGTGTTCTATAGGAGATGCTACGGTCTTGTACCAGGAGATACAGGTGTATAGACTAGTAAACTGTTTATTTACTTTGAGTGTTGGGATAATCCATTACAGTGATCATAGCCATTGTTCTTGACATTTTACAGTTACTAAAAAAGCGCAGAAACTGTGCATAGTCACACAACATAAAATAATTTAAAAATAATAATGATTGCTTGTAACGAGTATTCATTATAGAATGCATTAAATCCAATTTGACAACAAAAGCTCATATTACTGAGTAGGTCAAGACACTCTACTACTTTTTGTAAATATTGTTCCTTTTACTGATTCAAAGTCTTTGGTACTCTTTATTAAGACTAAAAGTCTATCTTAAATAATCCTAGAGAGCAATACAGTGTTTAGCACCATATGTTTTTCTATAATCCTTGATAAATAATATCAAATGTTCATGTTCTGAGTTGTCTGTCTGACTATATCCAAGATTAAACTGGACAAAGATTATATGTTAGAAAACATCTGATGAATATTTCAAGTCTAATTACATCTTCTGATTACATGTAAGGAAAGTCAATTGGTCTGGTTTGTGAGTTGGTTTTGAATGGCTATAAGAAGAAAAACTATTTGAAGCACGTAAGTCAATTATAAGTTGTCATCATGAGTTGTCTGTCCCTAGGGATGCCTTTTAGAGGGACACATACATTTATTCTAGAAGATTGTGCTTCCTGACAGTATATGCAAACATATTCAGAAACTATTTATGTGAAAGTGATGGCAAAGCCTGTTTGGTTCCCTGGAATAGGTTTAACTGTTAAAAAGACAACATATTGAGATTTTCTTTTTTTCCATGTGCCAGTCATCATAAAATAACTCACCAGAAGGTCTTGCTTTTTGGGGAATTTCAGAGGAAGTCCCAAGAAACTGTGCTCAGGATCTATTTGGTTAGAGCTAGAGAAAGGGTTTATCTCATTAGAGTTGCAAAATCAAACAAGAAATAAGTTCTTGGGTGTGAAATGCCTCAAGTGCAGACAACTGGTTCTTCAATTGTAGATGAAGATTTTGTTTCTTTTAAAGTTTTATAGTTCTGTGTTACAGTATTTTAAGTCAGGTGTTAACTCAATGAATTTATATGTGTGAAAAATTGCGTTTTGAAGGTCAGCCCATTTCTTTGATGATTTTCTTTTGATATTCAATACAAATAGAAAAAAATTGGACAGTATTATAGCTAATTTAAGGATACTTGGTGGTTCAACAGTTGAGAACTTAACTGCTAACAAAAGATTAGCTGTTTGAATCTACTTCTCAGCTCCACAGAAAAAAAGATTTGGATATCTGCTTCTATCAAAATTATAGACAAGAACACCCTATGGGGCAGTTATACTATATCTCAAGGATTTGCTGTTGAGTTAAAAATCAACTTTATAGCACCTAACAACAACACTTGACTATGGGATCACAACAATTATGATGAAGATTGAGAAGAATGAGCATCTCAGAACACTTGAGTGTACTCATGCAGAAGCTATACCTAGACCAAAAAGCTGTTGTCTCAACAGAGCAAAGAAACACTGCATAGTTTAAAATTTAAAAAGGTATATATGTCTTGGCACCAGCATCCAGGAAATGAAAAGATGTATTGCTATGAGAAAGTCTGCTGCTCAAAACCTCTCCAATGTACTAAAGAGCAGTGGTGTCACTCTGGAGGTTAAGGTGTTCCTGATACAAGCCATGGTCTTTGCAATCACTTGTTGTGTTAGAAAGCTGGACAATGACTAAGAAGGATAGAAGAAGAATTGATGCCTTTGAGCTGTGGTGTTGGAGAAAAGTATTAAATATATGATGGACTGCTAAGAAAATGAACAGGTTCATCCTGGAGAGTGTTAAAACAGGCTGCTCCTTGGAGGCAAGGATTCTGAAACTTCATCTAACAGTTTGGACATGTTGCAAGGAGGGATCAGTCCTTGGAGAAGGATGTCATGCTTGGGACGGTGGCGGGACAGCACAGGAGAAGAAGACACTCTTCCGTGACTGGGGTAATGGGGGTAGGTGTGTCAGAGAGTGTGAGATTGGAGAACGATAGGGCAGGGTTTAGGGCTATTGTACATAAGGTCACTATGAGTCACAGGCGACTGGACAGCACATAACAACAACAACAACATGTCTGGAATATACCTTTTCCCTACATACCTATTCATTCTCTATGCACAACGAATCATTCAAGAGGCTAGACATTACAAAGAAGAATGTGACATCACTATCCAAAAAAAGATTCATTAATAACCTGTGTTATGCAGATGACACAACCTTGCTTATTGAAAACTAAGAGAACTTGAAATTTGCTACAGAAAACCAAGGACTATAGCTTTCAACATAAATTACATCTCACCATCAAAAAGACAAACATTCTTACCATGGGTCTGATAAGTAACATCATAATAGATGGAAACAAGATTGAAGTTAATGATTTCATCTTACTTGGATCTACAGTCAAAACCCTTGGCACCAGCAGAAGAGGTGGGAAATCTCATACATTGTTGGTGGGACTGTAAAATGGTAGGGCCACTCTGAAAGATAGTATGGCATTTCCTCTAAAAATTGAACACAGATGCTCAGTTTGACCCAGGTGTTCCATTACTAGGAATATATGGAAAGGAAATTAGGACTGAGACACAAATGGAATTTATACACCAATGTTCATAGTAGCATTATTCACCATCGCAAGAACATGAAAAGAGCCCTGATGTCCAACTACAACTGAATGGATTTAGAAATTATGATGCATTCACAGATGGGATACTATGCAGCACTTAATAGCAATGATTTTGAAGAATACTGCATAACTTGGGAGAGACTGGAAAGCATTATGCTGAGTGAACTAACTCAGTCCCATAAGGACAAATACTGCATAAGACTATTATTTTTAAAATAGAAGGATAATCTTGAATGATCCAGGTAGCATCAAAAGAAGATAGCGGGAACACTTGAAATCATTGTACCAAAAAGAAAATTTCTTCTACTTAAGGTCATATATTATATTTTTGTTTCTGGCTCTTTTGAGTTATCATCATGTTTTCTTTCTTTTTTTTAATTTATTATTAATATCAATGAACATTTACAGAGACTTTGGATTTCCTTTCATTCATTGTTGCACTTTTCTCCCCTCCAAACCCTTCCCCCTAGTACATTACCCTCTTGGAAAAGTAAGAGAAAAATTATTTCATTGTTTTACAATCCATCCCCCCAGGTCCACTCCACTATACAGCCTTCACTCTGGACTCCTGTCATGACAAAAATACCTAATCACCTATCCCTTTTAAACAGTTTTTCCCTCATCTGTTTCAATGCAGTATATATTATTGAACCCATCTTTCTCAGTCTTCCCCCAAGCCCGATGTCAGTCCTGTTTTACAGCAGTGGCACCATGCAGTATTTGTCCTTTTGTAACTGAGATTCTTCACTCAGCGTAATGTCCTCCGGGGTCACCATTTTGAATAATATTGCTCGAGTTCCTTGTTTGTCAATTCAGTGTAGTATTCCATTGTGTGAATATACCATAGCTTCTCCATCCATTCATTTGTTGATGGGCACTTAGGTTGATTCCAACTCGTTGCTTTTGTGAACAAAGCCATGATAAACATGGTTGTGCATATATCTTCTTGGATGTCAGTTATGATCTCTTTGGGCCATATGTCCAGTAGTGGAATTGCTGGGTCAATGGTATCTGTTGCAACTTTTGGAGAAAACGCCATACTGCCTTCCACAGTGGTTGCACCATTTTACACTACCATGAACAATGAATAAGGGTTCCAGTTTCTCCACAACCTCGCCAGCATTTGTTGTTTACTGTTCTGTTAAATTTTGCTATTCTTATTGGGGTGAGATGATATCTCATGGTTGTTTTGATTTACATCTCTCTTAGAGCCAGGGATTTTGAACACTTCTTCATGTGCTTGTTGACCATCTGAATGTCT